TTAAGAGTCTTTAGACTTCTTGTCTTTAGCAATAATCATTCTAGCTTTAATAAAATGCTACTTTTAAGTGACATGAGAGTGCATTGAGATTTTTATTATTTGCGATTCATGTTCTTGATAAAATGATAAGAGTGATAATTTATTGTTCTTATATTTTTTTTTAGAAGTGATTGGATTACCTCAATTCTTTTGCTGCATTTTGAAGGTTGTAGACTAATTACTTTTAATCTTACATTTTGTTTTTTTTAACATTGATTATTTTCTTAAAGAAAGTAGACTATCCCTTATTGTAAAAAAAAATTATTTAATATTAGAGGTTATAGACTTCTTTCTTCTAATTTCACTTGTGGATTTGTTAAATTTGTGTATTATAGAAATAGAAAAAAAATTGGATATTACACTCAGCAAAAGTGAGAATAAATTTGCAACTATTGCAAATCTTCACAAGTTTGGCAATATTGTTGTATAATGTGTTCTCTTGCTTGAAAATGTACTAAGAACTTAATTGTGTAAGTTAAATTTAAATTAAAATAACAAAGGCTCTAAAAACTTTAATAGAATCTTGAATGAAATTTAATTAAACATTAAAAATCTTAAATAAATCTTAATCAATTCTTAAAAAATCTTAAAGAACTTCTAATGAAGAGTCATTAAAAAATCATAAAAGAAATTTTAAAAAAGATTGAAATTAAGAAATTTTAAAAAATAATAAATAATTCTAAATGAATATCAAAAAAATAAATTATAAGAAATAATTTAAATAATAATTTCAAATAAATTTCAAATAAATATGAAATAGATCTTAAATAAATTGCAAATTGAATCCTAATCAAACCTTAGTGTAAATCTAATGAAATTCTAAATAAATTTTTAGTAAGTCCTAAGTAAATTTTGAGTCAATTCCAACCAAATTCTAAGAAAAATTTTAAAACTATAATGATTATTAATCAAATCATAGATTTTAACCAATATTTTTTATTTTAATTATTAAAAAAATATCTAATATATAAAATTTAATAAAAAAAAAAAAAAAACTTATATTCTTGGATATCAATTGTTCGCCTTGTCTAATCTAAATGTTGATCTTTAGGTAGTGACTACTCCTTGTTGAATCAATGAATTTCTATTCAAATCATTAAAAGTGTAGGAAGCCAAGTTCACTATACTTGCATGAAAAAATTCTTCAATAAAACCCACAAATTTCTTAGGATCTTAAATAATCACATTAGTTTAAAATTTAAATATCCAAGATTCAAATTCAAGTAAATTTTAGTATCTTTTAATCTAAATGCTTGATTGTCTTCAAATTTGTATTACATATTTTTTAAAAATATATTTAAAAATCCATACATCTCCTATAATACTTATAGATTTTTCAAATATATAAGTTTCTTTTTATTTTTCAAAATAAAAAATCATTAAAAACATCTCTCACTTTAAAAATCTTTCAAAAATTCAATCTATCTAAATCACTTAAAATTATAAATAAATAATTTTTTCAAAGTCTTTTCTTTAATTTTGATTTTTAATCCACAAAAGAATCCTTTAATCATTCTAGGTTCTTTAGTTTTATACCTTAAGGTTTGATTTTTATTCTAATTCACAAATAATCCTCTTAAAATATTAATTTTTATTTTTTTCATATAAGTTTTGCTAAAAAATACTTTTTTCTTCTAAAGTTATATCTATATTATTTATTATTCTAATATATTTTTTTGTCTTATTTATGGCTATAAAAACTAAGTAGAAGCTTTTTTATACAAAGATAGCATTAATACTAAAAGTTTTTACTTCCTTCTCTTTTATCTATGTTTTGCTATTATATTTTTAAATTAGACTCTTCTATAATATGACCTATATTTTTTTCTTTTACCATATAATTATATTATAATACAAAAATACTTTTAAGATAGAAATCTCATATATTTTGAATGCTAATTACGATTTCTATGCCTATTGAAGAAATCAACAATGAATTTCAATGCTTACATCAAAAAGTTGTGTAATTAAAAGAAAAAAGTAGATCAATGTCACAATTAAATTCAAGAAGTCTTGCTACTACAAATATGAGGGATGCAAGGATTAGTATGCTAATTTTGTATTATAATATGACTATATGGTAAAATATAAAAATACATATTTTATGATAGAATATCCTAGTTAAAAGGTAAAGTAAAAAATATAAATAAAAGATAGAATAATAGTAAAAAAATTTAGTATTAATATTGCTATTTTGTAAAAAATAAAAATAAAATAAAATAAAATTACTTACTTTATATGCTCATAGATGAAGTAAAATAAGATAGATTAAGAAAATTAAAAATATGAATATTTTAAGAGAAGAGTAAATAATATTTTTTAGCAAAAATTACCTTAAGATACTAAGAATTGATAGCTAAAGAAGATTGATTGTGAATTAGGATCAAAATCAAACCTTAAGACATAGAAATGTACACCAATGGCAATTTGAGGATGGTTTTTAGATTAAAAAGCAAAGCTTGAGAGAAAACTTCAAGAAAGTTGTTTTAACCTTTTTTTGAGCTATTTAGATATATATTAAATTTTTAAGAGCTTTTCAAACAAAGAGATGTATTTAGAGAATTTAGATTTTGAAAAATAAAAAGAAGCTTATATATTTGAAGTATTTGTAAGTATTGTAGCAAGTATAGAAATAAAATTATTTAGGTTTATTATTATGCTTATTTTGAATATACTTTTAAAAAATTTAAGTCAATCTAATGGTTAATTTTTAAAAATTAAGAATTTTATTAAATTAGAGCCTTAAATATTTGAATTATAAGATCAATGAGATCTTCTATGATTTTAAATAATCCACCAATATAATCAAAGAAAAAATTTGTGAGAGTATATTAGGCTTCAATATCTATATATTTTTAAAATTAAGAGAAATTGAATAATTTAATAAAAAATAATTGGTGCTAAAAGATCAACATTGAGATTAGAGAAGGAAAAAAGCCAACATCTAAGAATTTTAGGAGCTTTTTCTTTCTATTAGTGAATTCAATTTTCTTCAAAATTTATTTGCTTGTAATTTCTTTATGGATTGAAATATAGGTGAAATTTTAATTGAGATCAAGAATTTGATTAATAGCTACTGAGATTTTAAAATAACTATAGGAATTGGTTAAGATTTATTAAGGATTTTTTTGGATTTTTTTAGAATTATTTTAAAATTTTATGAAGGTTTCATTAAGATTTGATTAGGATTATATTAAGATTTTATTAGCACTGCATTAAGATTTTATTAGGATTTTATTAGAATTTATATAAGATTTATTTAGAGTTATATTAGAATTTAATTATGATTATTTAAGATTTACTTAAGATTTTAATTTTTAATATTTTTATAGGATTCTTTGTTATTTTTTTAAGGTTTTTATTTTGAAGGTTTCTACAAGAAATCAAGCTCTACCTAAAGTTGCATCCATCTCAATATCTTAATGGATTTACTCAAGTTAAATTCATAGGTTCATTTCTATTTAAAACTATTCTTTCTAGATTGGTACATTTGATGGAAAAAGATTCATGACCTCTCTATGATTTGAATTCATTCTTGGGAGTATTTATGGCCACATTTAGAAATATGATTAAGTAAGATTAGCAAAGACCAAACTCCTATTTTTATGACAAGAATCATATTCAACCACCATATGTGATGTTGAATTCTAAAAACTTACTTGCCATAGATTAAAATAACAAAGTGTTTATTACTCAATTTTACTAAGGATGAAAAGATAATGTCAAAGTTTTTTTATTGACAATGTCAAAAATAGATTCATAAGAATAATTTATTGCTCAAGCTATTACATGTGGCAATCAACTTTTTAAAAGACTCCAAGAAGTAAGATTTGATAGGAGAATAATAAATCAAGTCATGACAATAATTCCTAAGTTTTTAAAAACTTATTCATCAAGGCCAAAACCTATGCAAATTGATATGATATGTTTTAAACATCTTATTGAGTAAGAAAAGACTCAATACTATTAAGAAGATTTATATCTATATTATAGAAAACCTAAGCATATTATTCAACATTATCCAAAAAAAGCAACATAATTACAAAATAAGGAATATAGTTGCCTAAAAGCACATTGTATCAAAAAACAAGTTTGTCCAACTACAATAGAAACAATGTGGCTAGAATCTTGTACAATACTTAGTAAAGGTCATATTCTTTCCTTTGATTCTTCACCTTGCTTTACAACCTTGGTTCTTTTAAACTTAATAACATAATAGCTTTAGTATGATTAGATTTCCCTCCAATCTAATTATTTCAGGTTTATCAAAGCTAAATTAATATAATCTTCTAATAGACTAAATTTCTTATAATCTTGATTTTTTCTACAACATAACTAAGACTTTTATTATCTAAGTAAAAAATTATAAGTCCAAACTCTTATAAGTAGGTACCATAGCCATCATGCATGTTGCAAAAGAAAGATCATTTTTAGTCACTTAATTGACTCACTTATATATTTAAATACAAAAAAAACACTTATTGGGCTTTAAGTCATTAGTTTAGGGAATTAATGTAGGAATTTGAGATAATTAGCAACTAATAGAATATCAATGGCTAGAATAGGTTTCTTGCAAAAAAATTAGAGAAAGAATTTCAAAATAGATAAACTCTCTTAATTTAGCTAATATATATTTATGATTTTTTCATTGTAGACTTACTGCCATTAAATGTTTAAATGGGGCTAGAAGTTAAACAGGAGCCTTAATCTAAAACAACCGAACAAAAAAAAAAAAAAAAAAAAAAAAAAAAAATGAGAGATCTGGGTAGTTTTAGAAGGACAACTATAGAATAGAAGACGAAAAGGTTGAGAGTAAGGAGAGAAAAGGAAAGCAAAAAGAATATGAAAGAAAAAAATAAAATAACGGGAAGGCAACTATAGGAGGGCGAGAGGCTGCCCAGGAATGGCGGCAACCACTTTCTCGATAGGGATCCAGCCGCTCAGATCCCTTCCTCTCTTTTTTTTGTTGTTGTTGTTTTTTTTTTTTTTTTGTTTAATTTGTGTATGTAGAAGAGCTCCGCACTAGGCAGATCAGTGGATTCTCTACGCTGAATTGAGGCTGTGCAGGAAACAAACACAGTCGCTTATTCGTTGTTGTTTTATTTATTTTTTGTTCTTTTCTCTTCCCGGTGTGTTGCGGAGGTTCTGTTTTTTATAGGGTGGTGTGAGTGCAGCAATGAAGGAGGTCCCTGCTGGTTGTGACGGTGTCGCAAATTCTTCTGTTTGGTGTCGTCCATCGAGCGACAAAATTATCGATCGAGGTTCAATCTCGGCATTTGGAGTCAGGAAGTGCAGCGCTAGTGCTTTAGCATAGAGAAGTGTGGATCCGGTAATAGCGTTGTTGTCGAGGAGCTCGGATTCGAATGTCAGCATCTTCCAAGCTCTCTAGTTGAGGGCAACTGGAGCCATGGTTCTACTCAGATTAAGTTTTCTTCGACAATAGTTTTCCTCCCTTGAGCTACAAAAATATAGCGGCGGCCCGGTTCGGTTCATACTCTCTCCTTAGGTTGCGGCAGAACGTGTTGTACGTTGTGAAGTAGATTGGAGTTTTTGCGTTGTTGCTGGGAGGCGATGTAGGGCTGCAGTGCGAGTTTTTGGTTCTTGGTTCACATTTATAATTCCGTCTAGGTACAATAAAGCCGCCAATTCTTATATATCAGCGGTTCCTTCTTGATCAAGGCTGCAGTAGGCATTGATGGCTCTTGATAATTACGATTTTAGTTGTAGCAATGCGAGCTGACGGTCGGTGGCAATGGGGAAGAAGGTATCATGTGTGGGTGTGCGCATTGGATAATTCACACCTAATTCAATGGACTTTAATTATTTCTCTCTTGTTGCGCGTGATTGGTACCCTGACGTGGTCGAGTGCAGAGTTCTGACCTAGTACCGTCGGAAGGATATCGAGTTGGTTGCACAAAGTGTGTACATGCAAATCTGATCAGTGGGGCTACAATGTTTGTAAGCATTGATTATTAACTTCTTAATTGTGATCAAGTGTTTTCTTGATTAGCTTACATTGATTATTGGATGCTGTTAGAATTCTAGTGCCAGTTTTGGGCCTTTGGTTTGTTTTACTTTATTGGTCTCTTGCAACTATGCGATTGGCTTTATCGATATCAACAGTTATTTGGGCTGCATTGTTTTGCTAGGCGTTGAGTTGGCTGTCAACGACGTTGGGCCCTCGAGTTGCTTAGTCTTGGAAGGATAATCAAGGACCACCTCAGTGAAGTGATCAATTATTAGCCGAACGTCTCATCATAAAAGCTGCGGCACCATTAACATCATTTTGTGCACATGTCGATCAGCGTTGCATTCAAAGGCTAATACGAGTGGGGCAGAAATTGTCTGTTCTTTGAGGTGATTGAATGGAAGGCATTGTGTAGGTATAGTGGTGGCTTGCAAACCAGGTTGTACCACTAGTAGAGTAGTTTTGATTCTTAATAGGAGGGTGCTTAGTCAAGGTAAACGTTGGAGAGAAAAGGCGCTCTTCATCCTCACGATCCTGCTTCTTGATGAGCCCTGCAGCCAGATCGATACATCAAAGTTGTTGCACCCAAGAGTTGAAGATTTTTGTGCGGTGAACTGTTGGCTTGGGGGTGGCATCGTGTGGCCATATTGCCTTCATGTGCTGGTGCTATTCCACTGAGTGAATTGGAATTTGCTGCGCATCCATCTTCAACTTTCACTGCTGGATCGGGTGTTCGACACAGATGCAATTAAAGACTCATGTGATCATTTAGATTCCAAAATCCACAACTATTGAGTTAATCAAAATTCTAATTCTTGCTATCCGATTTGTCTTGTCATTTTTTAGTATACTTAGGACATGAATGAAGTGCCTTCGTGTTAGATGAATTTGGAGCTTTTGTGGATGAATTATTAAGACGATGAGGTTAGGATTTGAATGAATTTTTTGGATGAAAAATTATGGATAATTATTGATTAAGATTAGATTAATTCTTATACATGGATGAAAATTCATTTATGAATGAAATTTTAGTTTAGATGATTTTTATTACTAAACAATATAAATAAAGTAAAAACTCCATAATAAAAAAAAAATCCTTTTAAGTATGGATTTTTGAGGTGTTCAAGTGGATTATATTGTTGTTGTGGAATATGTGAGTATAAAATTTAATTAATTTAGAAAATCTTAGGAACTTAAGTAAAAATTAGAAGAATTTATTTAACTCACAATAGAAGGATTTAGGATTTGTTAGGTATTATTTTAAAATAAAGATAAAAAAATAGAATTAATAGTTTATTAAATCATTGTGAACTAAAATAGGATTCCAACTAGTAGAAGTTTATTAAATCATTGTGAACTAAGATAAGCTTCTAACTAGTAGAAGTTTATTTTAGTTCACAACAATCTTCTGTTATTTATAACATATCTATTTTTGATAGAGAAAAGACTTCAAGAAGTATTTCAAGTTAGTATTAAATTTATCAAGATGTTTTTAAGAAGAAGAATAGAAATGTTGTTTTGGAGCATTATCTTTATAATTGCTCATTTAATCTTTAAGAAAGAACTCAACCACCATTCTGACTAATCTATAGCTTATCACAAAATAAATTGGCTGCATTCAAGGAATACATTGACAAAAACATGGCTAAGTACTTTATATTCCATTTGAAATCTTAAATAGGACCTTATATCTTATTTGTAAAGATAAAAGGTAGATCACTTCTATTGTATATGTATAATTAAGGATTCAATAAGATTACCATTTAGAATATATATCTTATATTTTTGATATCAAGACCACTTTATTAGTTAAATCAAATAAAGATTTATACAAAAATAGATCTACAAAGAGCATATAACTTGTTATAGATAAAAAAAAATTAAAAAATAAATAAAATAAAGATTTAATATTAGGTATGGATATTTTTGAATACAATGTTATGCTTTTTAGATTCTTAAATGCGTCAAATACTTTTTAGCAACTTATAAATAATATTTTAATTTTTTTTTTAGATGATATTATTGTTTGTTATCTAGGTATCATTTTATTCTACTCTAAGAATTCAAAAAAGTATAGATTTTATATTTGTGATGTATTACAAAAACTTGCAAATATATGATTATATGCCAAGATAAAGAAGTACATAATTTATATAACTTAAGTTGATTTTTTAGAATATATTATTACAAATGATGACTTTATGATAGATTCTAAAAAAATTTAAATAATTATGGATTGAAAGATTCCTCAAATAATAAGAGATAAGTAATATTTTTTATAATTTTTTAATTACTATTAAATTTTTATTAAAAAAATTTCAAGTTGCAACTCTACTTACATATTTGACTTACAAAGACAAATGTGAGTCAAATAAAGTAGTTGAAGTGACGTTTGAAGTTTTTAAGATAGCTTTTATTTTTGTACAAATTTTTTATAATATTAATTTTTTTAAGTATTATTTATCAAAAAAAATATACTAGATTTTGCATGAGATGTAATATTATTACAAATAGAAGTAAATAATAAACTTCACCTTATAGCCTTTTATTTAAGAAAATTTACAACAACTAAAATCAATTATAAGATCCATAATAAAGAACTTTTTACAATTATAGATTTATTTTAAGAATGGCACCATTATTTAAAAGACACTTTAAGTTTAGCCACTATATATATGGATTACAAGAACCTTGAGTATTTCATGACAATATGTATTTTAAATCATTGCCAAGCCCATTAAAGTATGTCTATGTGAAGATTTGAATTCAAGATCATTTATTAACTAAGAAATCGACAAGGTTTATTAGACACCATTTTTAGACACTCTTATTTTGTACTAAAAGAAAAAATAATGTAGCTTCTAATCAACAAAAAATTATTCTTTTGAAGTTGGAGCAATTTTATCTTCAAGTAATAAAATCAAAATTGACTATTGATTTAATATTTTTTAATAATTTTAATTAATTATATCTTTAGAAATTCTTTTTCATGATATTAAAAATAATTTATCTAAATCTTATCATAATTAAAGTTAAGTTTAAAAATAAGATACTCTATTTCAAAAGATACTTATATGTTTTAAAAGATGAAGCACAATTGTGTGCTCTTCAAGCTTATGATAACTTTTAACTACATAATATATTAGAGACAATAAGACTTTGGGACTATTATCAAGAAATTTTTAGTGGCCTCAAATATAAAAGACACTTAAAAACTTTATAAAATCATGTGATATTTGTTCAAGATAAAAAACTCCTTATCATCAATCTCACATACTTTTGCAATTATTACCTATATTCAAAGAAACATGGTCTTTTATTTATATAGATTTTATCATAAATTTTTTAATTTTAAATTCTTATAATTCTATATTTATAATAGTAGATTACTTCACCAAGAAGATACATTTTGTACCATGTACAAAAATTATCAAAAATGAAAAAATAATAATTTTTTATATTATTTATTGATATCATAAATTATCAAAAGATATTACATTACATACAAAAACTCAATTATTATGAAGGTTTTTGAAAATCCTTTTCAAAATATTAAAGATGGAAATAAAACTATCTTTGGCTTTCTATTTTCAAATAGATTGATAAATAAAATAGATAGAACAAATTTTTGAGCAATATTCAAGATATACCATCAACTACTATTAAGATGATTGAATAATTCTATTGTCATTAGCTAAGTTTTCTTATAACAACATGGTTGATTTTTCTACTTAATACACATCTTTTTTTATTAATTATGATTATTATCTACAACTTTATAGTTTTGAATTTTCAAAGGTTTATAATAGTGTAAGATAAGATTTGATAAATTGTTTATCATAGCTATATTTTATAATGAAGGCACATTTAAAGCAAGCTCAAGAACAACAAAAGATCAATGCAAATGCATATGCAAAGAATAATCTTAACACTATATTAGCAGCAAGGTATGGTTATTTTATTTTAATATCAAGACTAGCTATCCTTATAAAAATCCAGATAATTATAAATTTTAACCATTTTTTTTTTGAATATATCAATCTAATTGCATATCAATTATATTAATATGAATCTATTAAGATTTGCTTTATATTTGGTGTATCTCCTTTTGAGCCATAGAAAATAGTGAATATCTTAGAAAGAAAGCAAATGCTATCTCTTCCTATAGAAGTGGATAATAATTAAGAGTTTGAAATTAAAAAAGTCTTAGATTAAAGGAAATACTAAAATAGGTTAAAATATCCTGTACATTGGTACAAATATGATATTAATAAATGTACATAGGAATAAGCAATAAATCTTTTAAAAAAAAGAACAAAATTTGATGCTTTTTCTTGTATTGAGGACATCTATCAAAACCAAATCAAAGAATCAAAATATGATCACTACGCTTTGTGAAACTCAGTCCTAAAAGCATAGATAATATCATGGATATATATAATTATGTATATAAGAAGTGTGAGGTTAAAAATAATTATAAATAGATTTAATAACATCTTATGGAAAAACTTCTTAGATACTTCATAAATGTATATTTGACTTTATATGTAGTTATAGTTGATGGACAGGTTGAAAAATTGACCAACAAGTTGGCCATAATGTTATATAATATGTTGACTTACTTAAGAATGTATCAAGTACTTAATTCTAAAAGATAAATTAAAACTTTTAATTACAAAAGTCTTAACAATTCTAATAGAATTCTAAGTAAATTCCAATTCAATCTTAGCAATCATAAAAAAATCTAAATTAATTCTTAAGAAATCTTAAAGAATATTTTTTAAAATTATAAAAAATAAATATAAAATTATAAAAATCTCAGATAAATATTAAACAAAGAAAACCTAAAAAATAATAAAAATACTTATAGAAATATAAAAAATAAAAATCATATAAAAATAATAAAAAAATCCTTAAAAAATATTTAAAAAAATTCCTTAGTATATCGTAAATAAATCTTAAGAATCTTAAGTAAATCCTAAAAAAATCTAAATAAAATCTTAAAAAAATCTTAATCATATTCTAATAAAATTTAAAGTAAATTTTAATTTCATTGATGTAAAAAGTTCAAAACTTAAAGATTTAAACTCAATCAAATTTTTATATTTTTTAATGTAATTTTTTGATCAATCTCAAATTTCAAATATAAATTAAAAAAAAAAATTATAAATCTATATAATTTTATCTATGAATCTACTAAAATTCTTATTAATTCTTCAAATACATAAGCCTCATTTTATTTTTTAAAATCCAAAATCATTGAAATTATCTTTCTTTTTAAAAAGCCCTTAAAAACTCAAGATCTCTACAAATGAGTTAAAACTAAAGCTAAAAAAAATCCTCTTAAATTTTATTATCTAATTTTACTCTTCAATCAGCAAACTAAAGTATGGAATTATTGTAGGTGTATAATTTTGTGTCTCAATGTTGGATTTCAATCCTAGTTTACAATTAGTCTTCTCCAATTATCAATTCTTGGTTTCTTAAGATAATTTTTTTAATAATTTTTTAAAATTCCTTTCTTAAGATATATCAATTTTTTTTTTTACATTTGTTTTTTCTTTAGTATTGCTATACAAAGTGAGTAAAAATCTATTTTATAAAAAAGCAATAGTAGCACATATTAATTTTACTACTTCTTGATTATTATCTATAATTCTAAGATAATTTATTATAATATTTTTATTTAAGATTTTCTATAATATGATCCATCTTTTTTTCTTTTACTTAATAGTCATATTATAAGACAACATTTGTCCTCCTTAAACTCATTCTTGGATATTAGTCTTCAATTTATTAGTGTAGGATATTCTTTAGCTTT